AGTAGTAGTAGTAGTAGTAGTAGTAGTAGTCGTGGTAGTAGTAGTAGTAGTCGTGGTAGTAGTAGTAGTAGTAGTAGAAGTAGTAGTATTAGTAGTAGTATTAGTAGTAGTAGTAGTAGTAGTAGTACAAGTAGTAGTAGTAGTAGTAGTAGTAGTAGTAGTAGTTGTTGTTGTTGTTGTTGCTGCTCTTGTTGTTGTTGTTGCTGTTGTTGTTGTTGTTGTTGTATTATTATTAGTAGTAGTTGTAATACTGGTATCAGTAGGACCAGTAGCGGTGGTACGAATATTACAAGCGGAGCCGGCCCCGCTGCTTTGCGCGAGCTTGGCCATAGTCCTAAGACGCATTGCAATCTTTCAAAAACCATGGCTGACATTATCTTTTGGAAAGGCCAGCTTTTGTGTGACTGCTGCAAGCTCAGCAGGAGTCAGGTGATTCCATCTCTTTCAAACAACGAGGGAAGACGCAGCAAAAAAAGCTGGTGTGAATGTGGGATTCCTCGTTTTGGGAGACAACATTGGGTTTGCGTTGTCTCACTGGTTCATCGGGCCAACGTGATATTTATCGCGAAAGTCAACTTTGTGAGGGCTCAGGGCTCTCAGGGTTCTGTCAGACCTTGTTCTTTTTTCCGGGAATGGTTGAATGATGAAGTGGGAGAAGGAATGGTGGGAACAGGTGCTTTGATAGGGCAATGTTCTTGCGCGATCAAAGTAGGTTGTGAGAGGTTGGCTTTTATTAAATTGTTCGATCCCCTTTCTTCCACTGAAATCCAAACAAATCCAATACTAAAGTTGTTGATTTTATTGATTTTTGTTGACATTTGTTTTACTGTTTTTAGATTTTTGTCTTTTAGTTTAAGTCTAAGTTAAAATATTCTGGAGCACTTTTTGTATTGTTTTTCACCAGATAGCGTGAGCTATTGGGGTTCTTACTTCAAGTGTAGGAAGAGCTGCGTGTGTGCGTTTGCGAGCTTGGCTGCTATTGCTGTGTGCGCTTGGGAGCGCTGGCGCCGTTGCTGCTGGTGCTGCCGGAAAGGTCATTTTCCTATTTGGAGTCTATGCTGGCGCGATTCCCTAGATAGCGTGAGCTATTGGGTTTCCTATTTCAAGCATAGGAAGAGCTGCGTGACCCTCTGTTTCCCATCAATGAGGGTCATGGAAGCTGGGGGGCGTCGATGGCCATCTTCACTATTTTCATGACAGTCGAAGGGCTTTCCTTGACCCAGATCGTGAGGGAGCTGGGTGTGTCCGAGGGATATGCTCGGGCTTGGATGAGCAGAGCTCGCTTCATAATGGCCATGGATGCGGAGAAACGGCAGCGGGAGATTGTTTTCGGTCAGCTGGTCACGGATGATGGCGTATTGTTTTAAGCTGGGAGCAGCGCGCCGATGGAAATGACTCCGCCGCAAGATCTCGCCCGAATGGGTCTTCGTGAATGTATCCATTTTCTCAACACCGTGTTCTGCCAGGTTGAGTCGATAGACCGCGATGCTGACGAAGTGTGTTACTCCTACGGTTCACATGAACTTCTCTCTGAAACTCAATTGACTCAGGAAGCATTCGCCAATGCTTGAAGCGTGCAAGGTTTCAACGCTGCAAGAGCTACGTCCCCGGAACAAACACGGTGCTCCAAAAAAACTGCCACTGAGCGAGTCGAAACCTGTTTCGCTCGAAGTGGGTATTGACGCGGAACCAGATTGAAGGCTCCAGGCAGATTAAGAGAAGGCTTGCCCCGTTGAGGACAGCGCGTCGTGCCTGCGTTGTTAGACTTAGATCATATGAGCTGGGAGTTGATTTCGGTTGAATTTTTTGAGGACTTCTGTGTGGGGTCGCCTTTCAGGAGTAGCCGCGCGAGACGTGTCAATTCCGTTCAGGGTGAACGCTCAGCAGAGCTGTTGCAGACCTTGCCAGGCATGGAAGGGGTCAACTCCAGCATTGAGTGCTTGATTTGTTGAAGCCCGGGTTCGTACAACTTGGACGAACCGCTGCCAGAGCAGCTAAACGGACGTTCTGCGTCTTTGCTTGGCGGTGTGGCCTGACCAGAACGGACGCCCGCTGCGTTTGTGAGCGGAAAATGCAATGCCCGCTTGGAAGAGACATCGTAAATCTTAATCGGGTGCCAGTGCGCCAAGAGAAAGCCTCTAAGACTCTCAGTATGAGACACTGTAAGGCGGACCGCCCGTGCTAGTTCTGTCAAGGGCGAGGGCCGTGTGAAGAGTGGAAGTGGCAACGGCAAAAGTGGTTGACGTTGATCCATGTGGCCAAGTAAGGCCAAGCGAAAACCTGAGTGTAAGAATTGCAAACCAACTTTGTGGACAGATGCTCGTGGTAAAGGCGCAGTTTATCGTCGTAACGCTCGCCGCGTTACGACTTCTGTGTTCTTCGGGAGGACGGGTGATAAACTGCCGAATGAAGCAAAGCTATTTGACGATCCAACCCGACTCAAATGCTCACTGAAGCCGCTGGAAAGTTGCCAGTTTATCTTTCTCGCAAGAAAGCTTCCAAGAGTTCTTTTGCCATCAGATGTTTATCCGCTGCGTGCGCAGCAGTTCAAGATGCCTTGAAGTTTCACTTCGAATCCCGAAGCCATGCGTGTGCAGCGAAAAGGGCATGATGCAGTGTTGGGCGGACGGCTCCCGTTGCCGAGCGGCTTTGACTGAGTGTCCCACACGACTTGTCCCGCAAGAGTGTCCTACAAGAGTGCTCCACAAGAGTGTCCCACACGAGTGCCCTAAATGGTGCGCTACAGGAGCGCCCTACAAGAGCGTCCCACAAACGTGGGCTACAAGATAGGGCAACAGTGTCCCACAAGAGTAGCCCACAAGAGCGTCGCGCAAGAGAGTGCCCTACAAGAGTTTTCGCAAGACTGTTACAATTCACAAATGTTTTTCAATTAGTGCTCGAGAAGGGGGGCCCACAACGGTCCTATACGAGATCAAAGAAGAAGATCCCAGATTGTCCATCTTTGGAGAAAGCCAAGGGAGAGAATTACAGTAAGTGTGTAGGTATATGATATATACGTGTGTTCATTCGGGTGGGTGACTTATACAATTCCATCTCTGTGGAGAGTGTTTTGTGTAGTGGAGAAATGAAACATGCCGAAATTGGGCGATGAACAGAGGAGGAGGAGGGATATTTCAGAATAGGTGAAGCAACATAAGGAATGGCGGAAGTACGTCAATGAGGGGGATGGGAGCTCCTCACACACCCCTGAAGTGGCGGCTGTTTAAAGTGGACACGTGAGATGAGATGCCAAAATCATCAACGTATCAACCTTCCTCTATTCGCAGAGTGTCGAACAGAAACTCCGAATAAGTGAAACACCAGCTATAGCTGCTAAAGGCCTCCTGAGTTCAAAGTCAGTGCTTGCAAAATCCTGAAATCAAATTGAGCGATTCAAGAATTTCCTGGTGGGCTCAATTCTGAGAGCTGATCATTGAAATGGCCGCTTTGTGGGAAGCACCTTTGACCACTGCAGCGAACAAATTTTTGTTGTCGTGGCCGGCAGCAATGAAACTACTCATTGTTGACCAGCCCAAGTGAACAGACCAAATTGGCTGCAACAACACAACCATCATCGGCCCATCAACCATGCCAAATTGCAAGCCTTTATACTTTTGCACAGCTATTCAAGCTGAACAACAAACATAATAGATTGGGGGTGCCCCATTACCCGCAACAGTCCGTACACAGTTATATTTTTGAGAAAGGCCTTTACAACCATGATTCATTGTTGCATTGAATGGGAGATGCTCGAAGCATAGAGAATATGGAATCAAAGGAATGGCCAGTAGTGACCAGAAGAGCATTGCATCCAGACAGGAAGGAGAGGCACCAGCCACGCTTGCAGACAAGATTGTGATCATAGCTGGCGTGGAGCTTAGCAGCTAAGTGCGATCACATTGGACACTCACTTACTTCTATTGCCTATTATTGTACAGTATTTCTTTCCATATTTTAGTCGATCATTCAAAAGGATGCAAAAATTACTCCAGCATAGATCCCAGATGGCAAAAGCACGCCAAAGATTTTTCTGGGCTGCGCCCTGCGTTGGCAGCAGCACGCAATACAGCGTGGCGTGTCTCCACTACGCGCACAGCCAGCGCCAGCGCCCGGCACCAGCGCCCAATCTGCGCCACGCCACCAGCTCACAGCAGCCAGCGCCCGGCACCCTGTTTCCGCCACGCGCGCAGCCAGCCGACAGCGCCCAGCACCAGCGCCCAGCGCCCGCGCCCTGTTTGCACCACGCGCGCAGCCAGCTCACAGTCCACCACGCACACCCAGCACCCAGCAACGGCGCCCAGCACTGGCGCCCTGTCTCCACCACGCGCGCAGCAGGGAATAATAACGTATGATCTTGCGCGATAAAGCTTACGCGCGCAAAAGTATGCGCGCAAACAGCAAAGCCCGTAAGTGTCATTGGCCCAAGGCCAAGCAGTATCCAGCGCCACTGTTGATTTTGTAGCGTGCTTGAAGCAACGATCTGTGGAACGATACGGCCAGTATGATCTTGCGCGTACAAGTTTATGCGCGCAAAAGTATGCGCGCAAACGGCAAAGCCCGTAGGCCTCACTCGCCCAAGGCCAAGCAATATCCAGCGCGACTATTGTGTGTGTAGCATGCTGAAACATGCTGAAACAATGGTTGGTTGAGAGCCTGACGCTGCGCATACAACGTTATACGTACAAAAGTATGCGCGCAAACAGTACAGCCCTTGACACAGCTGTCGGCCAAAACAGAACCTGAAGAGAGTAAATACCCCACAGCGCTAATAGACAAAGAACGCTCAAGCGACAACACCGTATGATGTCGCGTGCATACAGCCAGCTCACAGCACCAGCGCCAGCACCGGCGCCCAGCACCCACCCAGCACCGCCACCATGTCTCCATCACGTGCGCAGCCAGCGCGCAGCACGCACCGGGCACACAGCACCGGCACCCTGTCTCCACCACGTGCGCAGCAAGCTCGCAGCACCGGCGCCCAGCACCCTGTCTCCACCACGCGCGCAGCCAGCCAGCCAGCCAGCCAGCCAGCGCCCAGCACCGGCCCTGGCACCCTGTCTCCACCACGTGCACAGGCAGCTCACAGCACCAGCCAGCTCACAGCACCAGCACCAGCACCGACACCACCAGGCACCCTGTCTCCACCACGCACGCGCACGGCCAGCTCACAGCACCCGGCACCCAACCGGCACCAGCAACCTGCCTCCACCACGTGCGCAGCCAGCTCACAGCACCAGCGTGCACAGCCAGCTCACAGCACCAGCACCGGCACCCGGCGCCAGCACCAGCAACCTGCCTCAAAAGCGCGCGCGGGCAACTCATTGTTATTTGAAGTAAGAACCCCATAGCGTCGCTATTTGGGACAAAGGTTTTCGAAAGTAAGCTATGTCGCACTCACTCTCCGAACGAACACAGCAAACCAGTTGTGGGCTTGCAAGATGACTTTCCTCTACCAAGGTCGGCACTGTGTTTGTGTGCAATTTTGCGTGCTCTTTGATGAGGTTCGGTGCATGCAAAGGATGCGGCATGCCGCGAGGCTTGTGCATCCGGTATGATCATGTCACGAGACCCGAGTCTTGACAGTTGCTGCTTGAGGGTAAGAACCGAATCAATTGCCACGACATCCTGGCCCAGGTAATATATAAGTTACGCCAGATGCAAGGTGTTCCACCCTCAGTATTGCTAGCAGTTTCGACGAAGCTTCAAAAGTGACATGACACGTTTGTTTTGATGTTTTGGACTTGACTCTGCGGCAAGGTGAAAGATCTGGAGCCGGGCGTTTTTGTCATCATAATCCCACAGATCTCAGTTCCGGCCATGCCCTTCTTGTAGTGAGGGTGCAACTTGTTCCAGAGAGAAACAGAGAGGCCTTCGAAATCGATCAGATATCTTTGTCCAAATAACGTGACTGAGGTGGTGATTGGCACAAAGGGTGCTCAAATCAAAGCCATTATGGAAAAATCAGGCTTGAGAGCAAGCAGTCAAGCTTCAAGTTGCACTTGTATTTTTAAACAGGTGCAGAGATCAATGTGGGACGAGAGGCATGGGAAGTGCACAGGGCCAAAAGTGTACTGTGGCCGTTGTGCGGGTATCACTTTTGCACCTGCAGACGAGGATACATTCCACAGGCAACTTCCATGAAGACCAATAGCCAATAGCCCCCAAAGACGTGTTACAAAGATGAATTCCAAAAAAAACCTTCTCCCCAGACAGTTTCCCTGCAAAGCGGAGCCCAGAAACCATAATTCTGACGGCAAATTCTCAACAGGTATCTAGAAAGACAACATTGTGCTGATGCAGAGGGCCCACAGTTTGGGAAACACCAATGAAAACCCAAGCTCCCCAACTTTAAGGAACCTGTGTCTAAAGTGCTGCCACCAAGTGTCCTAACCAAGTGTGCTTTTGGGCTGAGTGAAGGGAGACAATTGTATCTCCGCCATGAGGCAATCATTGGCATGCCGGATCAACCAATCAGCATAAATGGCACCGTAGATCAGGCTGGAATCGAGATGCTTTGCTGGTTGCAAAACTGAAACTGGAAGATCATAGAGGTTGCCATCAAGATGGCTGTGTCACTGTGTCACGACAGCGGGATCAATGGAGTTCGTTGCAGGTGGTTTTGGCTGTCTCTGGTGTCAACAGCGTTCTTCAGGACAAGTTTCCCACTTCATGAAACTTCGTTGAGAGAATAGTGATTTTGCAACGCAACGCCGCTTACCCCAAAATCATCCCAAATCAGAGTCAGCATGTCTCTTGCCAGGATATGATGGACAGGGGGAAATTGAAGGAGTCTGACTTTCGCAAAATTGACATCGGAGCAGCTCCTATGACTGCAGACACTGCCATGGCTAGTTGGCCTAGCAGCAGTGGCCATGGAGGCCATGGAAATGCTCCTACCCAACAGAACGGCACCCAGAACACCAGTGTCGCCAGTGTAAGTGGCAGTGGTGGCACAAATGGTTCTGGCCTTGGGGGCGGTGGCGCAACGAGCATGCCGTCCTTTCCGGGTGCTGAGGGCGATGTCGGAGGTGCGCTGGAAAGTCGTGTGCAGACCATGTTGGCTTCAGTTGCTATCAAAGCCAGGCATGGGCAAAAGCGAGCAAGCTTTTTTCTCAGCGTTGCAGGCGGGGCATATTCAGAGGATACTGTGAGCATACTTCAAGATATCTATTGATTTGTGTCCTCTAATTTTCAACTGGCCGGTCATGTGCGGTGTTTGTGCCTGAGGAAATCAACTTGTGACCCTGCTTTTCCTTTTCTTGTTTCCACTGTTCACCGTACGCCTCGAAACATACATATATAGAGGCCTCTGGCATCAATTCTGCGGAGTTGACGATCCTGCTGCCCTCTGAACTCTTGCACACTGTGCTTGTGCCAAGAGGAATCATGAGCGAGGTGGCACAAAGGCGCAACTGTACATATAAGTACAAAGATGCTTTTCTGCGAAAGAAGGACGAAGAATAAGAACATGAATTCACTACAGACAACAGATTGAGTGAACTAATTCATCATTTTGCACATTGCAGGTCTGGGTCAAGGATTGATGTTGGAGCAGAAGGGCCTGCAAAGATGCTGCAGGCAGATTGTAGTTTCACAGCGATGCGCGAATTATTTGACCTGCAAGGGTTCTTGTTGGTTCTTTTAAGCAATCCAGAGAGCGTCAAGCACATCAGGTGACTTTGCACGGACAGATGGTGGGAAATGCAATGGCAGCGTTATTACTGCAAGAGAAGGTTCCATCACTTTTCTGGCAATGATTTTTCCTGAGAAATCGATATAGATTTAAATATAATATACAAAATCATATTCGGCAGGTATTGCAATGGCAATCAATGAAATAATTTCTGGAATATTGAATAATTTAAATATACGAAAATATAAATTATATTTTATTAATAATATATATATATATAATATATATAATAATAATTATTATAATATATATATATACATTATTATTATAATAATATTATTATTATTGTTATTATTATATAATATTATTGTTATTTTTTTTGTATATTTATAGTTATTATTTTGATTTATTAATATATATATATATTATATAATTCGATTAAATTAAATTTTCGAAATATATTAGTAATATTTTGGTATTTTTAATGAAGATATATTTTTTTGTTTTATATTTGGTTATTATTTTTAATTTTAATGGAAGAAATAATTTGATATTTTTTTGAAATTTTTATTTTGCGATTTTTTAAATTTATTGATTATTTTAGGATTATATTTTTAATATTTATATTTCGTAATAATGAATTATTTTCGAATTAAAAGAAAAAAACATTGATATTAAGTATATATATGAGGATTTTTGACGGCGACATTGACAAATTCGATAATTTGAAAGAGCTGAAGCTTTGGCGCCATGAAATTGACGTTCCGGGCAAGAA